GCAGGTTGCAATTTCCAAAGGAGTGCAGGGACTTCTTCCCTGCGTGTCCCAGGGCACGGGAGTCCATTGAAATGAATGGGCTCTCGTGCCGAGGCAAATCGTGGCCTGTACAACCGCACAGATGTGAACCAGGGCTTAGTGTTAAAAGTGATGTCCCAATTGGATCCTATTGAAACACACATTGGCCTTCCTGCCCCAGGGGGAGGGAAGCAGATACCACTGTGGACTCATCATATTCTGCTGAGTAAATTCATCATTTGTCTAGTTAAGCACATTACCCTAATACACGTATCTCAGGACCAGAGCAATTTTTGCAATTCAGCTATAGATTTATTGCTTTGCCAATAAATATATTAATGCTCATGATATGGAAATTATACCTATACCTTGTTTTTGAAGGACAAACAATGGTTTCTTTATGTAGCATTGCCATCCAGTAATTCTTTTTTTTTCCGTTATTGATCAATGGTACTTTTAAAACAACTGTAACAGGATTTAAAGCACAAGTTTTATTCTGTGATCTGTGTGGTTTATTCCAGGTCTAAAACAAAAGTCTAGGTATAACAATAATGGTGTGAACCTCCTGCGCTCCCAAGTGTATCAACTTAAAAAACAAACAACAACCCCTGGAGAAGCTGCTAACATTAAATCATATACCAGTGATTGTGTAAAATAAATACAATAAAGAATGTAGCGCTACTCCTTAAAAATATATATATACACACATAAATATTAAGTGATGTGTAATCACAAAATTGCATCAATTTAAATAAATAATAAAAAATCACAACGTGAAGGTGATATCAATTCATATTATTTTGTGCCCATGATTCATTAAATCTATAAAGATAAATTCATAAAATGAAAAAAGTAAAAAACACATTTAAATCTATACATAAATATATATATATAATACCGTGCATGTAAAATCACACGTGCCTCTCATGTAGTGGGAACACCCCACTACAACTATACATCAAACAGTGCTCACAAAGTCCGATAAATATTAGTAGTGATATAAAAAAAAAAATAAAAATCAAACACGTGCTTCCAATTACTACAATTGGTGACCATAAAAAAAAAATCATGCGAATCTTTGGGTGAATGTGAATTCTGACAATCCGACCACCATCTGGATTAGCCTCTCACCTCATCACTTCGACCCTTGCGGATCAAAGCGCTTTTGTGGATCCCCCTCACAGATCCTCCAAGATAGCTATCACTCCAAATGCTGCTCCTTGTTGCACCCAAAACTCTCAGGATTTAATATCCCAGCAATGGCTCCTCTCCAGGGAATTTGCAGCATCAATCTCTCAGCGTCTCTCCAGCTCCGCTCAGTTCAGGTTCATTGTCCCAGCTGTCAAGCCTAGCCCCGCCTTCTACCTGTCACGTGCTCCCCATGTGTGTATATATATATTTTAAGGAGTAGCGCTACATTCTTTATTGTATTTAAAAGTCTAGGTATGACGTTTTTGAAGCAGATATAAGGCTCAAAGAAATCACAGATCACTCTTTAAGAAGCAGGAACTGCTCTGATTGGCTCTTGCCTATATATGCAAACTTCAACCATTAAAAGAAAAGCCAATCATGTTGGTAGCATATGCATGAGCAATCACACATGGGTGGAGGGTAAGGAGGTAATGTAAAATTTGTAATTTTACTGTTATAAAGTTTAGGGTTGAAGGGACAGCAGAGCTAGTATTGTTTTGACAAATGGATGTATGGCATCAACACACTATATTGCCAATATCTCACCGGATCAGGGACAGGTAAATATAAGACTGGCAGGAGTAGCTGGGGAACCTCAACCAAGCTACATGCCTTTCAACACTGGGGAGAGTACATTGCAAAGGGAAGCTGCCAAGTCTCCCCATATTTGTTCAATGACATCACCCAGGATGTTGCTCACATTAAAACAATTCCACGGATCTGTCATTTTGCAGCAGTAGTAGTGAGGGGCAATATCATTGGGCAGCAGTGGAGGAAATTGTTGGGGGGGGGAGGGTGGGTTGCCGTGGATGTCCCCATGACAGTTCTCAGCTTCCCATGCCATTTTTACAACAATAGATTGTCTATTAGCTTTGGAAAAGGCCAGAGCAAAAAAACAAATTTTGCCTTTCTTAGACTCCAATAGGATTTCGCACTAAGGTCAGGGTTTGTGAACTTCCCGCTAGGTTAAACGGACCTCCTGCAAACTGAACCCGCCCCAGGTCAGTCATCCTCACACATACCTCAGGAGTTGTCTGCAGCACATTATCTGCACCAAGGAACATTTTGGAAAAGCCCAGACCATTTCTGTTGTCTATGCGCATTAACAAAAGCCTTTCGCCCTATGCCATCCTTGCTCTGACTATATGAATTTCAATTTCCAAGTAAGAAATCCTCACATAATAATTGGCCATGTCCTTCAATATGGAAAATGAATAGGGCAGTGTTGCATAAAACCCATCAGAATATCCCCTAGATTATTCAGAGTATAGGGCAGGTTTATTATCCCATACATTTTAAATTTAGTTGCAAAAAATCTTGCAGAAATCTTAACTCCTGTAGACCTATGATTGCCTTTTGAGTAACTCCCTTTGAGTGACTTAGAACCTGATCCTGAGACCCAAGCCTTAAAAGAATAGATTGCCAAAACTCTTAAAAAAGGGCTTACATCTTCTGCAGGTGCAGGGTTTTCTATTTGCAAACAAAACTGAATTGACCAGAAACTCAATGAGATACCAATTACAAATAAGTGCCCCTTACCCATAACTGGGTAATAACCTCTTGATACTTGATCTAATGCAATCTCTGAAATTTTCATTAGTTAGGTGTCTGCGGATCTGATTACATAATGTGAAACCACCAAGGGGACTCATAGAAAATAGCTTTTAAACCAAGAGACAGTAAAAAAAAAAAACCCTTGTAATGCTGTTTGCCCTTTGCGATGTCCCTTCCCTAATTCAGAAAAGTGTGTGTTAGTTTGCAGGGCTATTCTGGGTAAATTTGTCATAGTTTACTCTGATGAAATGGTTCTTTCTTCTGATACCTTAGAGAAGCACAAGTCCCAAAGATGTGAATTGCAAGATTCCCTAAGGATCCCTTCTGTTTTTTACAAATCTCTCCTGAAACCAGTTAACTTTATTCTTCTGTGAGGAAGGGAAGTAATGTGAAACACTCAGCCTTTAAATACTAATGCAAAGTCAAATTTAACTGATAAAAGAAGGGGGAATTGTTGAGTACTTTGACAGCAGGAAAATATGTGACCTCACATGTCTCATCTACTTAACGATTATATTATATTACTGGATAGCCTGAAGGTCTACAAGAGCAGGAACACCAGTCAAAACAAGAAATCACTATACCAAATGCCCAACTGTGCGTCAAAATAATAATCTGCATTTACTCTTCCAAAGTCTATGCAATGCAAAATAATGCACAGCTGAAGAAAATTTTAACAAAAAGCATATATTGTATTTATTTTTTATTCCACTAATTACACTTAGGTCATCCTAGGTTAGTGTCTATGGCTAAGAGCTTCCTCAAATAGAGAGGAAAGCAATATAAACCTGATTCATGGTTGTAGGTTACTTATTCCTACCCAGTATAAATATGGGAAGACAATGTTCAGTGAATTTTTTAAATCTGAGAACCGTTTCAACTATAAATGAAGAGAAAGGCAATATAAATTGGATTCACAGTTGTAAGTTACCTATTCAGACCTCGTACAGAAATGAGGAAGACAGTAGTGAGACAAGGTCATCCAGTGCAAAGATAAAAAGCTGCGCCCAGCCTCAACCCCCTCTCTTCTCTGCTGGATGGAGAAGGGAACAGGGCCAATAGAGACATGTGCCCAAATGTATGCAATGTTTGTGACATGCGATAATCTAGAACCAATGTTTGGTTGTGGTACACTGCAACAAACTGAAGAGTTTAACATTGGTGTAGAAATACGGGGCTAACCGGGACAAAAGAAAAAATGGCTCTGCACTGGTGGTGTCACTGGAAGTAAAAAAATGTCCCTGCATCAGTGTTGCCTCAGGAAGGAAATAAATTCCCTAAATCGGTAGTGTCACTAGAAGGTAAAATGTCCCAGCATTTGTAGTGTCATTTGAGGAGGGTTTAAGAGTGCAGATTATGCAAATCGCAGGGTTTAGAAGTGAGTACAGGGCTCCAGAGTATGTACCACGCAGAGCTCCAGAGTGTGCATAGTGCAGCGCTGTAGACTGCATATCATGCAGTTTAGGATTGTGTATTGCACTGGGTGCAGGGTCAGGTATTGCACAAGGCACAGGGTCCGGGGCCCAGGAGTGGATATGGCTCAGGGTTCAGAAGTGGGTAACACAACAATACAGAGCTCTACTCGCAACCCCCAGTACAGAGCTCTTCCCTCAAACCCCCCCCCCTTCCCCACTACAAAGCTTTTTCCCCACCCCCCCAGTACAGAACTCTTCACTCAACTTGCCTCCCCCACCCTACAAAGTTCTTCTCTCAGTCTCCCCCTCCTTAAAAGTCCGGTCAGCTCCCCACCCGTCACGGTGCTGACCAATCAGATGCTGTCTAGCCTGTACTGTCATCCCTGCACTGAGAGGTTAGAAATCCATGGGAGTTTCAAAATCTCACATCTCTCCTTGCAGGGATGACACTTGGAGAGGACATCGCAGGCTTGTGTTCCAGCCCCCCGCCCCCCCCTTCAGAAGAAGAATACATGTAGGGGAGGATGCAGCCTCCTGTGCTGATTGCCGTGTCTGTGCAGTGACAGCATGGGTCTAGTGCAGGGAGACTTCCCACACTGCTCCTGTGTGAATTGAGGCTATAACAAGCCTGGGTTCACACAGGAGCAGTAGGGAAACCGCATGTGATTTGGAAAGGAACCATACAGCATTCCTGTTCAAATCACATGCTATTCTTTGCGGTGCAATTTGCGTCCATTGACGCATATCGCAACACAAAGTATCAGTTTCAGGTATTGAGAGCATTTTCACGAGTACTCATACTCATGAAAATACTTGGTATCAGCACCAATACTGATATTATCAGTGCATCCCCAGTCCCCAGTCATGAATCGTGGACTGTTTAACCGCCTCCCGCCTGCCATATAAGGTAATGACGGGCGCAAGGCGGTTCTCTCGTTCTAACCGCACATGCGCAGCTCAGGGAGCACACTGCGTGGCGATCGGTGGTGCGCTGTGTCCCTGGGACACAGCGGATCACCGATCAATGGAAAGAGCCGAAGATGTCGGCTCGGTCATGTGATCAGCTGTGTCCAATCACAGCTGATCACATGTAAATAGGGAAATGCCGGTTATCGGCATTTCTCTCCTCTTGAGCTGTCACGCTGACAGCTCGAGAGGAGAGGCGAGCCGGTAATCAGCTTACTCAGAGGGGACATGTACACTGATCATCAGGGCACTGATGATCAGTGTGCCCTGATGACAAGTGTAGCCCCAGCAGTGCCACCTGTCAGTGTCCATCAGTGCCAGCTGTCAGTGCTCATCAGTGCCACCTACCAGTGCCACATATCAGTGCCTACCAGTGCACATCAATGCCACATATCAGTGCCCATCTGAGCTGCCTTTCAGTGTTACCTCTCAGTGCCACCTATCAATGCCAGTCAGTGCAACCTATCAGTGCCGCCAATCAGTGCCAGTCAGTGCCGCCTATCAGTGCCAGTCAGTGCCGCCTATCAGTGCTGCCTATCAGTGCCCGTCAGTGCTGCCTATCAGTGCCACCTAACAGTGCCAGTAAGTGCCACCTAACAGTGCCAGTCAGTGCTGCCTATCAGTGCCGCCTATCAGTACCATATATGAGTGCTACCTTTCAGTGCCCATTAGTGATGCCTGTCAATGTCCATCAGTGCCACCTACCAGTGCCTCCTCATCAGTGGCCATCACTGCAGCCTCATTAGCGCACATCAGTGAAGGAAAAAAATCACTTATTTACAAAAATTTATAACCAAAACTAAGAAAAAACTTTTTTTTTTTAAATTTTCAGTGGTCTTTGGTTTGTTTAGCAAAAATAAAAAACCCAGAGGTGATTAAATACCATCAAAAGAAAGCTCTGTCTGTCTAAAAAAAAATGTCATATGTGTACAATGTTGCATGACCGCGCAATTGTCATTCAAAGTGTGACAGCGCTGAAAGCTGAAAATTGGCCTGGGCAGGAAGGGGGTATAAGTGACCGGTAGGTGAGTGGTTAAAGCCTACCTACACTAGTGCTACTGCTTCTAAGTGAGTGGTTTCCTCTTCTGCTAGAAATATATTTTGCTTTGGAATATCCTGCATTGTCCTAAATCCCATCCTAAGTTCTACTAGCAAATAAACCTCCAAAAAGACAACTCCTAGGCTGTGTATTGAGCCAGAGTGGATGGAGTGTTGCTGCATGCCTGGCTGTGACTTCTAAAGTAGCTATATATTTCTTGAACTAGAAGTAGTTAAGGAAACGTTCACTCTATGTAATATATATGTACCTAATAGTTTCTTTCCTGTTTTTTGCACTACTTGTCACTACACAAGCCACAAAAAGCACAATGGTAAGAGGCAATGGATCCTTTTTAATGCTTTGCTACCCAAGTGTGTCAAGAATTACTATACACTAATAATACTTTTTGCAGATGGGTAAAAACAGTAGGCCCTATTCTAGCTAATGTGACAAGGCTCCGTGACCCAAAACCCCATATTCTAAAGGTAATTGGGTAATCTGGGAACCAACAAAAGCATCACACAACTAACCTCCTTTGAGCAATACTATGTGAAACTTTATTCTACCCAACCCTCACAACCATTACGGTAATTCTTCAGCAGTTTATGGACCAAGCTATTTTACCTAAATTAACCTATAAAGAACATCTCAATTTCTCAAATACTGTTGAGAAAGTACAATGGGCAATTAAACTTCTGCAAATGATAAAACCCCAGGACCGAATAATTACTGATTACCCAATTTTTATAAAAGTTTAGTTTTTGAAGTGTCATCAGGTTTAATTGATCTTCATACTCCTATTTTCACCCATTATACTTTGACTTTAATGAAGCATATACCACCTTTATCCTTAAACCAGGGATAAATCCTGAACACATCCAATCCTACAGACCCAGATTACTATTTAATGCAGAGTACAAGCTTTTAGCTAAAATCATAAAGGCTGTATCCAAACCCACATTTCAATTGTAGCAGTACACCCTTAGGGTTTGCTGATGGGACCCCCTGATGGGTCATTCAACATTTTCCCTCCCAGTTCCTCCTCAATATATTGTCACTGATCAATTACAAAGGCCAAATTTCTGGTTATTGTATCAATTTATATTGATACAAGTCAGTTTATCTAACTCGGACCACAGCATCATGGGACACACAGTATCCCTTTTTATGGTGCAAGGTGAAAACTCCTTAACTGGGGTCCATACAGTTGCAAGAAAAAGTATGTGAACCCCTTGGGATTACGTGGAGTTTTGCATGAATTGGGCATAAAATGTGCTCTGAACGTCATCTAAGTCACAACAATAGAAGAACACAGTCTGCTGAACATAATACTACACAAACATTAGATGTTGCCATGGTTTAATTGCACATAACATGTAAACATTCACAGTGCAGGGAGGAAAAAGTATGTGAACCTTTGGACTTAATAACTGGTTGACCCTCCTTTGGCAGCAATAACCTCAACCAAACGTTTCCTGTAGTTGCAGATCAGACCTGCACAACGATCTGGAGTAATTTTGGACCGCTCCTCTTCACAAAACTGTTTCAGTGTAGCAATATTCTTGGGATGTCTGGTGTGAATCGCTCTCTTAAGGTCATGCCACAGCATTTCAATCGGGTTGAGGTCAGGACTCTGACTGGGCCACTCCAGAAGGCGTATTCTGTGGTGTTGCAGCCATTGTTTTGTTGAATTACTTGTATGCTTTGGGTCATTGTCCTGTTGCATCACCCATCCTCTGCGGAGCATCAGTTGGCAGACAGATGGTCATACCTTTTCCTGCAAAATGTCTTGATAAACTCTGGAATTCATTTTCCCATCAATGACAACAATCTGTCCAGGCCCTGAGGGAGCAAAGCAGCCCCAAACCATGATGCTCCCTCCGCCATGTTTTACAGTGGGGATGAGGTTTTGATGTTGGTGTGCTGTGCCTTTTTTCTCCACACATAGTGTTGTGTGTTCTTCCCAAACAACTCAATCTTGGTTTCATCTGTCCACAGTATATTTGCCAGTAGTGCTGTGGAACATCCAGGTGCTCTTTTGCAAACTTCAAACGTGCTGCAATATTCTTTTTGGACAGCAATGGCTTCCTCCGTGGTGTCCTCCCATGTACTCCATTCTTGTTTAATGTTTTCCTTATTGTAGATGTGTCAACAAAAATGTTAGCTTGTGCCAGAGATTTCTGTAGGTCTTTAGCTGACACTCTGGGATTCTTCTTTACCTCATGCAGCATTCTGCGCTGTGCTCTTGCAGTCATTTTTACAGGACGACCACGCCTAGGGAGAGTAGCAACAGTGCTAAACTTTCTCCATTTGTAGACAGTCTGTCTTACCGTGGACACATGAACATCAAGGCTTTTGGAGATACTTTTGTAACCCTTTCCAGCTTCATGCAAGTCAACAATTCTTGATCGTAGGTCTTCTGAGAGCTCTTTTCTGCGAGGCATGGTTCACATCAGACAGTGCTTCTTGAAACCAGTAAACCCAAAACAGGTGTGTGTTTTTTAAGGGCAGGACAGCTGTCAGCAACAGATTCAATATCATCACACTGATTGGAGTCAAGGTTGGCTCACTCCTGGCTCCAATTAGCTCTGGGAGAAGTCATTAAGCTAGGGCCTCACATACTTTTTCCTCCACGCACTGTGAATGTTTACATGTTATGTGCAATTAAACCATGGCAACATCTAATGTTTGTGTAGTATTATGTTCAGCAGACTGTGTTCATCTATTGTTGTGACTTAGATGACGTTCAGAGCACATTTTATGCCCAATTCATGCAAAACTCCACGTAATCCCAAGGGGTTCACATACTTTTTCTTGCAACTGTATACCCAAAAACTAAAACAAAGTACATCAATGCAGTGTTATTACCTAATAAACACATAATTCCAATAATATTTGATCCCATTTTAACGCCCCACTTCATGGGTAGGGTAAGCCTGTTAAAAATGGTAGCTTTCATTCATACTTTTGTGTGTGTTACAGGTCCTTCCAATCTTCTACCCAAAACAATCTAAAACACTCTATCCCTAAAAAACTTTACACGATGTAGCAGGAGTTAATTTGGGGCAAGAGAAGAGCTGGCCAGCATAATCTGCTTGGCCATAAATTGTAAGACCTAGCTTCTCTTACTAGACATATAAAAGACTGAATTCATGGCGCCTCCATATAGTTCTTTTACAATACTCAATATTTTTGCGTAGAATGTTGGATCACTATCCCCCCATATATGTCCTTTCTGCTCTGCCCACACAACCTTGTTGATTTGCAGGGGGAACCCCTCCTAGGAAATTTTAGGATTGACCAACTGCGACACCCTAACAACTATTTGTTCCTTGGTCTCTATGCAGGGCTAGCAACTTACAAGTTTGATTGTTAGTTTGACGATATACTGAAACACATACTCTATCCTCCATGTATTATTTTGCTTTGATGCTTTCTATTGCGACTGTAAACCTTACCAACTTTATTGGCCAAAATATTACATCCTTAAGATTGTCATCTGCATACTTACCTAAAAAATAAGTAAATAAACTTGTTTAGGGCATGTAAAATTATATTCATAGTTTAAGAGATTCTGGTACAATGCAGCTTTCTGTTATAGAGGTGGAGATTTAAGTAACAGCCACCTAACCCTCTGATTTTTTTTTTTTTAATTTGCTATCTTTCTGGCAATTGCAGCATAAATCTCAAATAGAATAAAGTAGATTCCCTTTAACTTCAGATTTAGGGATGAGCAAAACTGATGATTTTCATTTACCCAAAAATGCAAGGAAAATTCGGAGATTTTGGCAAAATGCAATTGAAGTTAATGAGGATGGTAAATTAGGGTGATTTTTAAGAATTTCAATTATACTAAACCTGTTCAAAAGAATAAAAAAAAATTAAAGCAACAGTACACAAAAAAGTAAATTGGTAGATTTTTTTTAAGAAAATTTGCACCTAAGCAGCTCAAAACTTTCAATTGAGGTTTTCCATTAAATTAATTTTAATTCTACTTATCCCTAGTAAGGTTTTTCTTCTAAGCTTTTTTTCTCTGTGATCGAAATTGCTTTGACCACACTTCTGTCCCAGAATGAGGTAAAACTGAAGGTATGACTGAGAAAAAAAGCATGTTTATTTCCTTACACTTCTACATTGATAAAAATGCTAAGCAGGAATTCAGTAAGTGCCGTCTTGGCAGGGCTGTAGGATTGGAACCGTGGGAGGGATGGGAACAAAATTAATTGTATGCCAGTGGGAAGTCAGACTGTTAAATCAAAACAGGACATTTGTGATTTACACCTAGTGAGACAATTTCATTCACGTTATATTCTACAGAAAGTCCAATAAATTGCTTCATTTTATTTTGTGCTCAAGTGACGTGAAACAGCAAAATTAATTAAAATGTATTTGCATCAATCAAATATTAGCAGTGTGACATTTAGCATTACATGCAGCAAGCACAAGCTGCCCACTAATAGAAAATGGTTCATTTAATAGCACAATCCTGGCATTTCAACATAGCTTTTTAAAACCTTCTTTTTGTTTCAGTTTAGGATGGTAGTGGGTTAAAGTCATTTTTTATTGCTGTTTGTGTAGCCATTGGGGATACATACCTCCTAAGAGTTTGAGAGAGGGACAACCTGGAAAGGAGAAAACATACAGCATGCTGGAAATTGGGTGTGGCTAAGTTAGATATTAGGTGTATCCTTAAGAAACATGTCTGGCAGGACTAGGGACATCAGTTTAGATCCCAGCCATGACACCACCTGTATGGAGTAGTCATAGTACCCCTTATATTGCTGGTCGGCAAGAGCAAAAAGATGCCCAGTGTCTGTGGTG